ATACCTAACAAACCGGTATTTCGCAAAAATATTGCAATCACGAGGTTTGAAATAATATGTACTTGATTATTTGTCTGTGTGGGACACGCCGTTTCCTCCAAATCGGGCGCCACTCGATTCCGCCTTTCCTGGCCAAGGACTTTTGGAGTGTTATTATTACATCTGCAGGTCTAATCTGCGTCAGTAGTTTAAGTAGTAGGTGGTTAAGATGAATATATTTTAATGGACGTAGGTAACACGTGAGTCGTCGACTGCGTAAAATAAGACGAGAAACAGTATTTCAAACCGTATATCACACGTGGCCTTCGTTACCATCACCGTTAAAAAATAAACCCATATTTCTAAATAAGACATTTTGTCATTAAACCAACGTTATGAGAACGTTAAATTGTAATAGTCAATAGTTAAAAGGAACTATACGCGTATATTATGTGATAATACGGAGAAAAAATATATTGAATATAATTATTGAGGCTAGGTTAAATAGAAGTTAATTAATTATTGTTTAAATTACCATCTAGGTCACACACACACACGGTCTGCGAAACTTTCAAATTTTTCAAATTATAATTTAATATTTTGTTAAAATTACCATATATCTACTGTTCCGCGTTATTTCAGTAATGCACAATATAATAGGTGTAGTAGTTAGTATTAGTTAGGTTATAGTAGGCTTGCAATATTAACTTTTAAACTTAGCTTTAATGTTTCAAACTTTCAACTATAAAGTTAATGCTTACCTGACAATTTTGTATATTCTGTTATACTTATGTTTGTGTGCCTACTGTACTGGTAGGATGACTTGAACATTGTGAGAATTTGTTTTCCATTTATAAATAATATACTAAATCGTTTGACCGTTTGAGTTTATGTATGACATATATTATATGGTACATGACGACGCTATTCGAGTAATTTATTATCCTCTAAATTTAAATTTAATTATAACGATTAAGGAAAAAGCAAACTTTTGAAGGTGATGATGACGGACCGGTAGAATCCCTTAATCCGTTACTTAACAATAATCACTTTAAAACTGTTTGTACAAAAATAGGTGGTCAACAATAATACAATATTACACTAATATACCATGGCCGTTTATGTAATAATAATCATGTTATAGCAGTAAGGTGATTGATTAGAGACCTTAAACGTGTTGTGTATGTTTCTCGACAAATTAATTGGAAATGGATTGTAGTCAAACGATTAAAATCTCGAAATCGCAATAATAATATTTTATTAAAGAGAGGTGGTGGCTTGTTTAGAAGCACAAAAAAGGATTATCTACAGAAAAAAATTGGATGCATGCTCGCTGCAGCCTGCCTATCGTAATATGATGGAAGTATACATATGACTAATAATATTCATAAAAAACGTGAAACAATTGGTACGAATCTGAGGGATGACAATAATTTTGTTGACACAATATTGACCTTAGTTCACAAAAAACAAAAGTGATGAACATTTTGCGTTTTTTAAAGCGTGAGACGGCGTTTGGTCGTCAACTGTCAAGGGAGTGTCAAAAAATGGCATTTTTTAATTTACATAATATTATTATTATAGTAAACTGAAAATTCTATCGTCTGTATTATTTTCAACCCGTCAAAATGATTATTGCAAATAAAAGAAGTTTGATGTTGTTTAAAATATAAGCAACATTAAATACAGTAATAGTGATAATGGTGTAATTTGTATTCATTTTCGGTTAGGGGTTTGCATATTGTATAATATTATATTTGACGACGAATAATGTTGTCGCGGTTATAAATCTCGAAAACAAGAGTAGGTACCTAAAGTAATAATATTTTTATTGTTTAATAAAAAATTATATCAAACATAGTAATCTAGTAACTATAGTGGGATGAATTTGAACATTTTGTAACAAATGGACTTTTTTTCCTATTATCTACTGCCAAACGTAATTTTCTTTTTAATAATATTATACATAACATTATAATATAGTTTTTACCCAACAACTCATAATATGTATTTTGCACATCAATGATAATAACATATAATGTTCAGATTTGACATTTTTATTTCGTTTTTGTCTTTGATATATTATGTCCTACTTATTTTTTTTTACTTTTTTAAATAAATTTAAGAACATTTTTGTTCTTATTTAAAAAACCACAAACGAGTAAAAAATCAAAGGAAAAAAAAATAAACACTAAAAAGCTAAAACAAATTTACTAAACATCAACTTTTCAACTTGTTTATAATCAAGCAGCAGCTTTGCATGTACTCACATAGGTATCGTTCATTAATTAAATATACACTTAATGCAGGGGCGTATTTAAGGGGGGGGTGCTCACAGGGGGCCCGTGCCCCTCCCACCCATCATAATTATGCTTTTTTAATTACTGAGAGTAAAAGTATGTATTAACACCCCAGACGTAACCAGATACTATACATTTTATAAAATTTGTTTTATTGAATATAATATTAATTACATTTTATATTTCCAACACATGTATTATAGTAAACAACTGGTAATAAAATATGATGAAATTGTTTTGAAACATATACATTTTTTTTTTTTTTTTTTAATAGTATTTTATAATATACTATTATGTACAATGTGTACACTTATATTTTGTAGGTACGTCCCTACGACCCAACTGGCCGTATGCACGTCATAAGCGATATTTTCGGGCATAACAATACAATATATAACGTAAGTACATCGATGTCATTACGTAAACCATTTTATTATTTCACATATTGTATCCAAAAGATGTTAAGACTGTACATATATGTACTGTACGCTGTTACTCGTAATCCAAATAATAATAATATCGATACGGTGGCGGCAGCGGCGCTGTGTCAAACTGCAGTAATTTCTTCGCTGAAACGGAAAAAAGACGGGTTTAGGTAAAAAAAAAAACAACATCGTACGCACACGTGATCGCGAGTATTGGTGTTATATAACATCCTAATGTACATTGGTAAACGTATTTTGATGTACACAAATATTTAAATGCCTTGACTGTATATCTCTCGCCGAGTCATGTGCATACAGGGTGATTCACTTGCAAGAGCTCTCACCCCCTTTCCCCTTTCAATTATGATGCTGCCGATACTGCAAAGCATTTAAAATATCTGCCATCCATCTATGAAATTTTTAAATTTTTGAATAATAACGTACTCAAATAGATATAATAGTACTTGAGGACCATATTTTCCTGCTTTTGAGATTTTTTGAACTACGTATCTACGTAACTACTTATCACTACGTATCACAATCAAAATTCCAAAAAGTAGTCTATGGACATTAATAATTTGTAAAAAATAGTAAGTGTCCAAAAGTCATTAGGTTGTATAAAAAACCTTAAGAATTTTAAAATACATTCGGTCTTAAGTATAATTCCAAAGTCAGAAATTGAATACATTTATTTTTAAATGAAAAAAATAGGGATGAACATGTTTGGCGAATCACCCTGTATATGCACACTTACTCGAGTTACTATATATGTTTTAGGCCAGATACATAAAACGCCGTTTTCTTATACGGAACACGTTATAATAGATATCATAATGTACTGAGCACCGTTAGAATGCCAATCTGTAAAACCTGATTGGTAAACGAACTTTTTCGTTGCCAGCTGCAACATTTTTGCATACCATTATAGGTTTAGGTATGGCAAAGGTGGCCAAGTAAATAAAAAAACTTAATCATTAAATAAAGTAAACATACACATTATAATATATGTTAATGGTTACCGAAAAATAATATTAAATTTAACTCTAAAATTTTCAAAATATTATAACCCAAAGGTTTATTTTTTTATAATTCATTTTTTTACTTCTCACCCGGATCATATAGTCACAGGTACATTTGCAACTTTCACAATTTTTAAATAACTAACCATTTTAATGAAAATTCCTCCTTCTATTCCTGTTTATTGCTCACATTGCAATATAGCAATGTTTCAGGCAGTTAAAAATGTGTGCCTATTGAATTAAAACCAATAAAGATATTTTATTTATTTAATATTAAATTATTGTCTACAGCCTTATTAAGTCAAATAAAATAAATAAAAATTAATTAGCTTAACGTTTTAACCACAGTTAACGATTTTAACTCAACGTCTCAACGAACCTAAATAAACTAACGTACACGCTGTTTAATTTCGACATATATAGTATAAATATTAAATTGAAACAAATGCAATTAAAAAATTAACTTTATTACTATTTACTGGTTTTTTGACCAACTTGGTGGTATTTTTATCCAAAATATGATTGATAACTAGATGATAGAACTTAAATTTTGAATTTCCACAAACTTTCGTACAAACAAACACCTGCATACATTCATCGGACTGTCTAATCAATGAAACCAATATGATTAAATCGATTGCATCTTATACCTATACAATACTCTAGACCCTCTCAATTTTTATATAAGTATAATATAAGTGTTAAGTGTATTCCAAGGGTAATCGTAGACAAACTGAAGATCACTTACACCGAATAGTTTAAGGTTTAACTATCGGCAAGGTGGTTATTTTTATGAGATAACAAAGTATTTCTTCATAGGTAGAAGATTATAATATTGAGTTTTAACATAGGATTTACATAACTGCGTTATTGTATTGGTTCATAACATAGTTATTATTCAAACTTTATAATATTACTATACCTATACTACATTGCACAGGTTCAACTGTCAAAAATAAATTTAATTACAAATGTTTTTTGCTCAAGTTGAATAGTATTTAGAAGTATCGGCTGACTACAGGTTGTTAATAATTCGTCGTTATGCTGATTATCGCGTGTTTGTTGATAAAATAAACATAATGTACGTAGCTAAAAAATTATATTACTGTGCGTATGCGTTATAGTGCACGGTAAATTGAACTTTGGACATTTTATTTCACTCCAATTTTTTTTATTGCTATTTTACCCAATTTACGTGGATAAATACAGGTAGGTCCGCTGAGGTATACCGTTTTTCAACCACGTTTAATACACTATCAACGCGTATTATCGGAGCCATGTCGAAACCAGGACCTAACAATACAATCGATGGCACAAAATCTATGCCTTGCATTGAACTGGCGCCTCCCATATTAGATGAGTCGTCCGACCATTCATTTGCGTCTTACAAAAGTTTCAATACGCTACACGAATGGGAAATCCAGGATCATACTGAAATACGTCCAAATGTAAAAGCTTTGATAGACAAGCATAGGTCGTTTCAAGAAAACTTACTAATTTATGTTAAAGTAAACGACTCCAACTACAGTGACCAGAAATCGTGTGCCAATGATTGTGAACGTTCAAGTGATATTGTGGACAACGATTGCATACAAATGAAAGGTGACACGAAACAGGTGGAAAACGTCGAAGATGTCGTGAGATAATCATATTATAATATGTTATTTATATTTAATGATACGGATACAGTGATATGGCGAAAGAATAATGTTTAATTATATTAATTAAATATTATGATATAAAATATTCAAATTGTTATATTGAACAGCGATTTACTTTTATAATTAGCTGCGGTGTAAACTTTATTTTTATTATATTATATTTAAATTAACGCTACTTAATATTTATCATCATAATAATTTCAAAGTAAAATGCGGTATATCACAGGTACATATTATATTATATTATGTATGCTTACAATAAATATATAGGTATATTTTAAAAAATGTATTTATAACTATTACTAATGTACCTAAGTATTGTTTTTAAAACTATTTTCTTAAATCACGATTTTTCAGGTGAATAATCATCTGTTTGAAATTTGTACTGTCCAACAAATGGCGAACAATCCAAAACCACTGGAGGTAGAAAAAAATATTGTTTCGAACTCTGAAAATATTGATTTTAAATCTGGAATGGCCGAGTTAGAAAAAAGGACATTAAAATAAATGAAACAATATAATTATTTTATTTTATTTTTGTTTTTTGTGAACAGACGTTTTTGGCAAAATATTGTTTCCATGGTCAGAATTAACAATACTTACTACCACTATTTGAAACAGATAACAGACAAGCGGAAATTTAAAAACCTCGAGGACGTAGTGGTTCACGCCAAATTGGCGTTGAAAATGGCTGGCGATGAATCTGAACTAATCGGATCGGAACTTATCGAGTCGTCCAAGAAATATTTGGAAAAGTTCGGCATCGTGTTGGACAGTAAACTGAATGAGAAATTGAGGAGAGCTCGTTCGTCATCAGAAAACGATATCACAATGAGTGCTCTCAGACTGGAGTTGGCCGAAAATAAGAGGCGCACGAAGATCGCTGAAAACAGTATCGCACAGCTTCAGAAGGAAAAGAAAGACTTGTTAAACATATTGACCAGCTACGATTCTGAGAACATTAACAAAGTGTCGTTGGAAAAACGGTTCGAAGCTGAGCGACAGAAAAACAACGAATTACGCGAATTAATTAGTAGGTACTATATTCAAAAAGAAAATGCCTTTTAATACCACCTAACCAATAATATAAACAGCGAATTTTGATAAATAAATGTTTTTAAATTAAAACCTACTGTTTAGTTTTCTTTCCCATTATTATTGTTTACCTATTATAATAGTTTTAATTATTACTATCATTATACCATCTTAACATATGACATTTTATTACGGAGGTCTTTCTGCCAGGGGTTGCAAACTTTGTAATAACGTTATATTTGACAAAAAAAGATTCAAATTTATAACTTTATTATAACGGAAAGCGATAATAAAAAATAATTAAATACCGCAAAACAAAACATAACGATTAACAAAATATATTATATATCATTAAACAAAACATAACGCAAAACGTGATTTATAGAATATCATTAAACGAAAAATAACGCAAAACGAAATATTTTAAAGTTTATTTATTTCTATTGGTTTCGTAGAAACATTTATTTCGTGCAAGCAATCTAAGAATCTAATAATTGATTATATTATATTCTGTATCCGGGCCATTACACTTAACAGCATTAGTTATTATTTTTAAATTTAATAGGTATTAACATTATTTTAAATAACGATAAGCGCTAAACGATAAACGCAAAAGTTGGATAACGTTTTAATTCTAATTAACGATAAAGGCAACAATTGTGTAACGTTTTAATATTGTAAATAACATAAAACGGAATTTTTTTTCAAATACAAGCCCTACTTCCTGAAGTCTAAATCAATGTATCAATACCACGTATTTAGAGTCGTGAGATGTTTTCGATTTATATTAATTCTTTTATTTAACTATCAAGTTTTATTATTTATACAAGTATGCTGTAGGCTGATACTATAATATTATTTTTGTTAAACGTCCAAATTTATAGTGTATTTTATTGCCTGAAGAAAGAGAAAAGAGAATTAACAATTTTAAATTTCAAACTAGAAGAATTTTTAGTATTTTTAATTTTTGTAATTTATTGTCAATATTTTGTACGAAATAACGAGCACCTATACGTAGTACGTGGACGTAATGTCAAAGAAAAAACTATTTATGACTAATGTTCAGTAATAAATAATAATAAGCCATCTAAGTACACCTTATGAATTATTCGCAGATCGTAAAATCATAATTAGAATTGCATAAAATAGCAGCAGCTGTAGTCAGTATATATACGATTTATCTTTTTCAAGCGTCATTGGCCTCTACTTCGATTTGTCACCTACCTACCTCATTATTATTATTATTATTATTATTTTTTTTAATCAATAATCACTCTGCCGTGAAATCGGTGGCGTTTGTTGTGGCGCCGAGAGGGGAGCTCAAAATATTATAGGGTTCTTCTCGTGAATTTTTTTCCTCTCAAATCACTGAAGATCAAACAATAATTCCATCGAACTGTAGAACTACATTACTATTGTGCTTTAATTGTCGTTCAATCCGAGCGAAACCATTTCGCTCCCCAACTGTTGTATTTCAGCTATCGAATAAAACACCTGCGAATCATCTGAAAACGTAATGATGGTATAGTATAATATATAATGATATAATATTATTATGGTATATTATACCATAATAACCATGAATACATAAAAACATTACTATGTCCGATGTCGTCTGTATTTTTCATTATTATTTTGTCAGAAAACTGTATTTTAATTGACACCCGAATAAGTAATCACATTATCATAGAAGTACCTATATTGTCATTATAATATTGTTTCGGAAAGATTGTCAAATGACGTGTCAACGTCAGCTTTGTTTAAACATACATGTAGGTACTGCGTAGAAATATAAATAAATTCAATTTTTGTAATGCATTAAAATTCTCATCAAATTAAAACTTTTTTTTGTTGTGTCATCGCCCAAACTCGAATGTGACTTTATAACCTTATACTAACTCTAAAGTATAGTAATAAACAAGACAAAAAATAACAAAAAATATTTAAATTAAAAAACTACTTTTTGTAATACTCATATTTTGTTTAAGTACTCATTACAGTTATTGGTCCCCAATAATAATAATTATCAATATCGTAAACGTGATAAATATAAACCACATTATTACAGTTGATATAACTGTGACTATTGTGGACCACAACAATGGAAATAATATTAAACAAATTTAACGTTAAAGTAACTATTTTAATCGGTACACGTGTCGTATTTATAAATAAAGTGTAGGTACGTTTTCTAAAATGTCACAAGTCACTCAAACAACTTAAAATTTTTTAAGCTACAAAATGAAATTTGACCTTTCAACTTTAATATAATTCAAATTATATTATACTATAGTTAGGTGATTATGAAAATAAACATATAACTGCTTATACAGTGAAACTTCCACATAACGACTCACACAGCATTTGGGAAATGATAATATTTTGTGAATATTTTGGAGTGCTTGAATCGACTTATAATATTGTATAAATATTTTGTTCTCATAATAACAAAATATTCGACTATATGATTGCACAAAAACGTTGGCTTAATATTTTTATAATGTTTCCATGAAAAAAAAATATGATTTAAAATGTTTTGTTAATGTTTTTTACAAAATATTTTTCAAATGTGAACTTCTTGGCCAAAAAATATAAATAAAAGATTTCCTTATTATTTATGCAACTTTTTCAAATATATTGACAACTATATTGTTTTCCTGAAAATATTTTTACCATAGTTGGGAAATATTAAAATGCTGTGCGGGGAACTTTAATTTAACAACATTTTCTGTTTTATCGAAATATTTGTGTGAACCAAACCTGCAAATAATGACCATATTTTATTTTTTTTAACGAATTTTTCAATAATACTTTTTTGTTTCCTTCAATACCTCGTTATATGGGAGTTTCACAGTAAAGTGTATTTAAAATATTATTTGGTCGCCTATGCTGCAGCCATGCAATGAGTCTTACAATTTTTAAACATCTTGTACGATGACTACACTCAAGTACCTATATAGTATGGTTGGTATTCAGTTTCTAATATAAATGATATTTTTTTGATCTACATAAATTATTTTATTATGGTAGATACCTCGTGTTCGGTTCGAACTCCAGCAGTGTACCTGATATTGCGTTGTATCGTGATGCATATATATATATATATTATATATATAATGTATAATATCTGATCGGCTGTAAGAGGGCATTCAAGTAAAAAAAAATCCTACACAAGGTTTTATAATATTTTTACGAATGCCATTGCAACTCGAGGAGCATATGGTATTTCTAGTGAAATCGAACACGAACTCTCGGTAATATTGTTCCGCCCTCCATTGATTTCGCTTTCAATTGAACTGTGCGGAAAAAAAACCTTAAAAGTGTGTATTTTATTGTGCTAAAAAATGTTTGCGCTCCCTCGCTTTCAATTTCTAAGTATCACCACTCGTTACGCTCGCCCCGGACATCCTTTTCAATTACTCGAAATTCCGAAATATCGTATTTCATGCGAAAAGCAAAACTGCATTATATATATTGCAGGTAAATATTATATTATATGGATACTGGGTTCCGTCGTCAAAATGTTTTAAATTATTGAACATTAGTATCGTTTACTGCAGCTTGTTGACGAATTAATTATTTTAAAGGTTTTCGTTTTGCGACGTAGGTAATGGATTTGTGTAATAAAAGTATTCAGTAAGTTCGTAAAACAAAGAAGCCGTCTATAGTATAACAATATTATTGTGTTTCTTTTTCGAATAGAATATTATGCTTTTTACAAGCCAGTTCACCAAACCTAATATTCATTCCAGTGATTGAATAAGTTCGTTTGTATATAAATTTAATTACATTTTCATAGTATGTAGGTATAGTAATAACTTTATGGCTATATTTTATGTTTTCGACTGCCAACAATTTTCATGATAAATATTATTATGCATTCAGAATTATTATATTTAATAAAATATTATGCATTTGTAACTACCTATAGTATAATAATCTCATAAATAGTCTCATTTTTAGGTACAACTTTTAACTTTTGCAGGAGTTAGATACGTATCATCAAAGTAGGTACCTACTGTATCATCTGTCTATAATGCTTTTTTACCTATACATATTTTTATACTGTATAGGGTACATATTATGACATTTATTTTTATTTTTTTGGCGCATACTTATATAGGTTTTTGCAAAGGTGGGCAAGTTTTAACTGTGGCAAATTAAGTTAATTCAGTTAAATTGCCTTCGGTCAAGTTAACATTTAACAAAAAACAATTTTTTTTCAAGTTACAATATTTTTAAATCATAAACATACACCTTAGTTGTTTGTTATACACAAACATTTACAAAGACGTTTAACATTGCTCAAAAAATTAGATTATTATAATATATAATTCGAAAATAAATGAACAAAATCGAAAAAGAGCTGTCAAATCAGTATTGTCTAGTTGATTACGCAGGACACGAAAAGAAAATTAACTTAACTGCAAGGCAATGATAATTAACTATAAAAAGTTAAGTTTGGCTAACCGTGTTTGAAAATATACCACCTGAAAAATGATAATTAAGAGTTTTCAAGTGAGATCGTATTTTGTAAGCATTATAATTGACCTGCAGGACCATCTTTTTAAAAATACGAAGATAGTTATCCCCCCCCCCCCAAAAAAAAAAAAAAATGATTAAAGAATTATTGTGCTCTTTTTAATATAAGTACCTATATTATAAGGCGAAGGCTAGAATAATAATATTGTTTGTTCAATTTTTGTTTTTTAATTATTAATATGGCTACCATATTGCAAATTAAAATGTATACAATAGTTTATTATGCCAATCTAGGTATAAGGATATATTATGTTCTATATTTTTATAATTTTTTTTTGTCCTGTTCAGTTTCACTGAAAAAAAATAATTGTTTATAACATATTCATATGGGTTAAATATAAATCAAAATACTTTTAATTATTTTTTAATTTTCATCCAATCATCGCAATGTTAAAAAGTGATGATAGGAAATATTTGTTTAAAATGTTTTTTCATAAAAACAACGATATCCTTTAAATTATTTAAATGATTAACAACTATAAAGACAAAAT